GAATTTTCCTAGAGTTGAATTCTTAAGGACCGCATCCACCAAAACTTGATAAAGCAAAAATTGTCGCCTTCTGTCCACGTCCTCCATAAACATCGCAGTTGTAAGTTTACGTCATAGTTGTGTCGTGGACGTCAAAGTAATATGCCAATATGTACGCGTAATGCACCTACAGTGCAACAATCAATACCAAGCCATTCTTACGCGGGCTCTTGTCATTGGTTGACGATACGCTGGTAAATGTACATGAAAACTGATCCCTGCCACTAACAATTATTTCATGGTGGTTTTTTTTTTTCGTAGACATACGACGAGAAGACAATGAGTTACATTGCGACTCAAGGTTCGCTTTACTTAAAAATTGGACTTCTTTAGTTGTGTGAAAAGCTTACTCGTTCACTTTGGAACTGCCTATGGGTGCATGTGCACTTTCGCTAATGCACCTTTTATTGTCTTTCAAGGTCCAAATAAAGTAACAGTCAATGATTTCTGGAGAATGATTTGGCAAGAGAACTGCCTTAGCATTGTTATGCTGACAAACACGGTTGAACAAGGGAAGGTACGTTTGTAAGATGACAAATTCGAGCTACAGCAGAACCTGTGCATATAGACAATTAAGCAAAGGGAAACTGGTCGCTCAATGTTTACCAGTTATTGAATGAGGCAACCCCAAACAGGCGAAATATTTTGATAAATAATAAGTTATGTTGGAGGAGGTGGAATGTCAATTTTAATGTATATTTTTTGTAACCAGCGTCCTGGGATCTTCGAGAAAAATGTTCTCATTATCATTATCATTGTCGTTGTCGTTGTCTTTGTCGTAATCGGTGTTATTATTATTATTATTATTATTATTATTATTATTATTATTATTATTATTATTATTATTATTATCAATTGAAATGAAATGTTTTTAGTTCGATTACTTTTTTTAATGAAATGAATTTTTTTTGTAATCAAAACGAAGTGTTTTTTAATCCAAAGGAATTGTAAATAGTGTCAGGGTTCGCACAGGTTTGAAAAGTCCTTGAATTTCATGGGAAGTCCTTGAAAAGTCCTTAAATTTCTGTGCAAGTCCTTGAAAAGCTCTTGAATTTTCTTCAACTTTGAATGTAGTGGCCAGGAAAGAATTTTTTGATGCTTTTTGGTTATCCAAGACAGAATATAAACCATAGCTCAGAGAATTTAGGGGTTATTTAGATAAAGTGCTCTATGTTTTATGCAATAATTAACTATCAGTTTAAGACAAGTGAACTGAAAAATGCAGAGAAGTTGGTGAAGCAAACAGTTCAATTCTTATTGAATCTGTACAATCTGTGAAATTATATTCCTAGTGGGTGGTCCTTGAAAATCTCATGTGGTCCTTGAAAAGTCCTTAAAAATGGTTGCATTTTTGTATGAACCCTGAGTGTTTTGACGGAATAGTTTTTTTACGCGAAATAATTGTTAATAGGATTTTAATGATTAGCATTGTTATCAATACAATTATAAATATATTATTGTTATTTGTTATTATTATTATTATTATTATTGTTATTATTTTTATTATTATTATTATTATTATTATTATTGTTATTATTACTATTATTAGCATTTCTACTGTTTTTTTTTTCCTTTTTCAAGTTTTGAATTTAATTTTGTTCGTTTGATTTTTGTCACCCTTTGCAGACAAAGTGTGAAAAGTATTGGCCAGAAAAGACTTCCAAATATGGTTCCGTCACAGTTTCTCTTCAAAAGACTGAAACCTTTGCAGATTATATCATTCGAACATTAACGTTGTTGAAGGTTAGCATATACCATTAGAAAAAAAATTACCATTTACTCATTTTTAGAAATTAGCAGAACTCGATTGCGATAAGTGAGCTTTCTCGGACAAGCAATTCCTTCAAACACTCATGACAACACCCCAGTTTTATTAGAGTGATTTTAGTTCAGCTTTTCTTTCTGACTATTATATTAATCGGAAATTTCGATCTGGGCAACTGTGGTAATCTGGGTTTTACCCCCCCAAAAAAATTGTTTTCAGGTTGGGTTACATCAGTAGTTTTTGTATTGGGTTTGCTTCTTAGAGCCTGGGGGCGGGGGGGGATGCTTTGGTAGTTTTTTGGTTGGGAGCGCTGCTATAGGCGCCTAGAACCATTATCCTATATCAGAAGATACAATTTTCCAACATTATTCTAGAGTTGACACTGAAATCTTCACCCCACATACTAGACTGACTATGAAACGAAAACTCCAGTTTTCATACTGCTGATCAATTTTCCCTAAAGTAGTAACCTAATCCCGTACTAAACGTTTTCTGAAGACCCGTTTCTTCACAGCGTAGCCGCACATGTAATAGAGGAAAGTAGCCCATTTATTTATTCATTTCAATCATGCCCAGAAAACATGTTGGAGTTGCCATTTTTTCCTTGAAAATGAGTTGCTATCTAACACCTTATGATGTTATATCCCCTTATTATGGCAACCAAAACATTTTCCGATGCAGTGGCGACCAGCAACT